TTATCAAATTAGAAAGTAAATTGTTATTATTATAGAGAATGATAAATTACAATATTATTATATATTATAAAATAATATAATATAAAATAATAAAATAATTTAATAAGGTAAAGTAAGGTAAGGTAAACTTTTATCAAATTAGAAATTAAATTATTCCATTCGAAATTAAAATTTTGTCCCCGAATTATTAAATTCGAAATTAAAATTTTGTCGTCGAATTATTAAATTCGAAATTAAAATATGGTTTAATTAAAATTAAGGTTTAATTATCGTCGTTATAAGGTTGAAAATTAGATGAATTAAAAACTGAAATTAAAATTTAATTACTATATTCAGAATTCGAATTAAATTATTAAATTATTAAATTCAAAATTTAATTTAAATTATTAGATTCAACATTTTTGGAATTACACATAGAACTTTGTTCGTACATACAATATACTCATTTCTCCCATAGTATCCTGTCTAAAATCTACTCTTCTTTTTCCAAGCTATACTTTTTAATTTCGTTTTAATTTTAATTTTAATTTTAATATCTTTCCCGTAAACGATAAAAATTCCTCGCTATCTTCTCGTACAAAATTCCCTAAACCCATTAAGGCATTACCATAAATAAAGAGACGCTGGAAACATGAAATTCCACCTGACCCAGAGGTGCCTGACCCGTTTGCACGCTCGCAATAATCGCGCCTAATCGCGAGAAAATCGAATCTCCGGATCTCATCTCCATCGGTCTCGAAATTCGAAGATCCCCAGCTCTCGGAGAGCTCGTGATAAACGAAAGTCGAGCGATCTTGCCAATGATCCCGGGAAGGAGACTATAATCCTAACACGTGTGAAGTCGTCGGATGAAAGAACAGGAGCGCGAGTAACGAGAAATCGGCGCGTTATCCTCGCGTACACGTAGGAACCGCAGGGCGGAGTGTCTCGAGATATCCTTGGCACGGATATAAAGGAATCCGTGCCTCGCACGACGCTGTTAAACGCGTCGTCGCTCAACGAGGTTCCTATTATCAGCGTGGTTATCGTGCGCCGCGAAACTGCGACTCTCAAGGATGCAGAGGGAGAAAGAGAGAGAAAGGGAGGAGAAGGAAAATTGCAGTAGAAGGAGGGACATAGTCTTTCTCTTTTTCCTCCATTTGTTCTTGGCAGTTCGTCTTTGATGGCATTTGACAAATATAAGTATCTTCCGACCTCTCGTTGTCAAGCTCCAACTCCCACCCTCGAAAGGATCGTTCTTTGTCTTTCCTAATTGTTCTTGAAAACTACCCTCCGTCGCTCCTTTGATGGCTGAAAATATCGCGAACCCA